TTGTGGAAAATTGGTGGAACAAGGAGTTGCAACCAGATATACTGGATTAATTGGTGAATGCCTGGCAGGTCTCTCTGATAGTGAGGATGTCAGTGAAGCTTGGAGGGGCCTCAGAGATGTTATTATAAATGCTGCTGGTGCAGTCTTAGGAAGAATGGAAAGGATAAAGTATAAGAATTGGTTTGATGGAGAGTGTGAGCAAGTGACAAATAAAAAAAAAACAGGCGTGTAAGAGAATGCAGTAAAGGAACCATACTCGAGGGGCCATGGAAGAATACCGTGAAGCGAGAAGAAAAGAAAAAAGATTGCATAAAAAGAAGAAAAGGGAATATGATAAACAAGAACTGATTGAACTGGAGCATTTAAGAAGTTCAAACGAAATTAGAGTGTTTTATCAAAAACTAAACAAGAGTCAAAAGGACTTTCAACCTAGAACAGCCTTATGTAGAGATAAAGAAGGCACAATATTTAGTAGTGATGAAGCAATACTGGAAAGATGGGCGCAATATTTTGAGGAATTATTAAATAGTAACGCCTCTGAACAAGTGGAAGGTATGACCATAGACCGGAATCAAGGAAATTTTGAGGCTGAAGAGCCAGCGCCAACCATAAAAGAAGTAGAACAAGCTATCAAAAAATTGAAAAATAATAAAGCTCCAGGAATGGATCTCATCACAGCAGAATAAGTGAATTTGCAGGCCTAGAATATGCTAAGTACTTACATCAGCTAATAGTTAAGATATGGATAACTGAAATAATCCCAGAGGAATGGAACCTAAGTATTGTATGCCGTATCCATAAGAAAGGCGATGTCATGGTATGCTCTAATTATAGAGGAATTAGTCTGTTGTGCATAGCATATAAAATATTTTCCAACATTCTATTTAACAGACTCTCTCCCTATGTGGAAGGCATAATTGGTGATTACCCATGTGGCTTTCGTCAAGGAAGATAAACTAACGACCAGATTTTCACTATTTGCCAGGTCCTTGAAAAGTGTAATGAATTCCAAATTGACTTCCGATCAGCCTATGACTCCATAGATAGAGATAGTCTTTTTCTGGCAATGGAAGAGATGCACATTCCACGGAAGTTAATCGCCTTAGTCAGAGCCGCTATGAGAAAGACCCATTGCCAAATTAAGATTCAGAATATGTTGTCCAGCCCTATAATAACTAGAAATGGAGTTCGACAAGGAGATTCCCTAGCCTGCCTTTTGTTCAATATATCATTAGAGAAGGTAGTTAGAGATGCAGGCATCAACACAAGGGGAACTATATTCTACAAGTCAGTTCAAATTTTGGCATTTGCAGATGATATTGATATAATTGGTAGAACACAAAAATCTATGAAAGAAGCTTTTCTTAATTTGGAAAGAGCAGCAAAAAAGATGAATCTACAAATTAACCAAAATAAAACAAAGTACATGCCGGTAACCAAGAAAGACTGTGCTAATGGACCTACATATATTGAAAGTGGCTCATATAAATTTGAGGTTGTATGTAGTTTCACTTACCTTGGATCAGAAGTTAACTGTAAAAATGATATCAGTGATGAACTAAAAAAGAGTGTACTTGCAGCAAATAAATGTCTCCATGGCTTTAGGACACACCTGAAATCCCAAGTAATACCCAGAAGACCAAAACTATGATGTATAAAGTACTTATAAGATCATTGCTATCTTATGCCTCTGAGCCTGGCCACTGTCAAGATCGGATGAAAGACTGTTAAGTATATTTGAAAGCAGGATCCTGAGATATATCTTTGGACCAGTGGAAGAAAATGGAATATGGAGGAAGAGGTATAACCATGAGCTATACAAACTATTTAATGAACCAGACATTATTGGATTTATAAAGGTGAAAAGGCTTGAATGGGCTGGACACATAATGCGTGCCAGCGAGAATAGAACCATCAAGAAAATGCTTAATACTAAACCAGAAGGAAATAGGAGAGTGGGAAGACCAAGGTTAAGATGGGAAGAATGTGTGTGGCAGGACATAAGAATTTTGGGTGTAAAGAACTGGAGGAATGTAACATCAAATGGAGAAGGGTAAGCAATCCTTAGGAAGGCCAGGGCTCACAAAGGGCTGTCGTGCCAGTGATGATGATGATGATGATGATGATGATGATGATGAAGGCTGAACATGTTCACAAGAGCCCTTCACTAGTCCCTGTAATAAGCCAGATCAGCCCAGTCCATACCATATCATACTATCTGTATGATCCATTTTAATATTATCCACCCACCTACCTCTAGGTCTTCACCATGGTCTCTTTCTTTCTTTCCAACCAATATTCTATGTGCATTCCTCTTATCCCACATTTGTACTACATGCCCAGCCCTTCTCTCCCTCCTTGACTTGATCATTTTAATTATACTTGGTGAAGAGTACAAGTTATGAAGTTTTCTCCAGCCTCTTATCACTTCTTCCCTCTTTGATCCAAGTATTCTCCTCAGCACTCTGTCCTCAAACACCCTCAGTCTGCGTTCCTCCCTTAATGTCAGAGCTCAAGTTTCACACCCATACAGGACCATAAGCAAAATTATACTTTCATATATTCTGATTTTTGTGTTTTTAGACAGCAGAAGAGAAGACGAAAGGTTCTGAACTGAAATGGTTCAATCTCCTCTTAATTTCCTCCTGAATCAAATTCTGATATGTTACTGCCGTTCTGAAATATTTGAACTCTGCCACTTTTTCAAAGGATCCGTAAGCCATCTTTATGTCACGGTTTTGCCCTGCTTCCTTAGTGATGAGACAGCAACATGTACTGTGTTTACCTCTAGATCAACCTCCTTACTGGCAACAGTTAAAGTTTATTGGTTTTTCTTTATTGTATCTATGTTATTTCCCAGTAGATTCACATCATCAGTGTAGATCAGCAGCTGATGTGTCCCATTGAATTTCAGTCCAACCTGGTTTTTCAGGACTTTCGTAACGGTATATTCTAAAGCAAAGTTGAAAACAATGGCAATAAAGCATCTCCTTGTTTCAGACAATTTGAGGATAGAAAACATATCCGACAAATGTTTACCTATACAGACGTTACTGTAGTTTTCATTTAAACACATTTTAATCAGCTTTCAAGCTCTATGAGAATTTTGTACAGTATTTCCCTCCCAACTGAATCATAGGCTTTCATGAAGTCTCATTGTCTTGTATTTACATTTTTTCTCTAGTATCTGAGGAATGTAAAAAATCTGGTCAGTAGTTGATCTGTTTTGTGAAATCCAGCACTGATGATCCCCAATAAGCCAGAAGGTCGCGGGTTCAAGTCCCGATGAGGTCATTGGATTTTTTTTTCAGTTGACCTAATCCTTCCAGCCACACTAGGCCCTGGGGTTTACTCAGCCTCTAACAGAAATGAGTACCAGGAATTCATTAAATAATTTTCCTGGGGAGTAAAGCGTGGCTGGCGCGTGAGGCTGACAACCTTACTGCCATCTTTGAGCCGATTGTCTAGATAATGTAGGACCCTCAACATCTCACAACCCTATGGGCCTTCACGGCCTGGTACAGGGATAGCTTTACTTGCTTTTTTACTTTATGGACTTAACCTTGAGAGAAGGATGTTGGATAAAATTTTGTATGAAGATGATAACAGTGATATCCCTTGAAAACTGCTACAGTCCATTTCATCACCCTCATAAATTAAAACAATAATAGACTCCTTCCACTGATCAGGCAATTCTTCATTACTCCAAATAGAATTAATGAGTTTATGGATCCCAGACCATAATGTTTCACCTCCTGTTTGAATGAATTCTGCCAGAATTTGATCACTATGTGGTGACTACCTTTCTATATGTGAGTCATGTAATTACAATGTTCCAGTGATGTGAATGTTTCAGTTTGTGTTTACTTGAAAAAGAAGGCCCTTTGGAGCCAGGTTAGCTCACTTAGTATAATGATGGGTTGGACAACAGGGGTTTGATTCCTGGCAAGGGCAGTTGATTTTTCTGTATTGTGCAGCATCCAGACTGGCTCTGGGGCCCACCAAGTGTCCTATGCAGTGGGTACCAGGGGATGTTTCTCTGGAGGTAAAGCAGCGGGGACATGAAGCTGCACACTCACCTACATGTGGTGCCAAGGTCAAGAATAGTGGAGCTATACCTCGACTCCCCACATATGAGGGTAAGTCAACAAGCAAGTTACAAATTGATATAGAATTTAAATAAATAAGAGTACTGATTTGAAAAATGCTTTTGTTTCTCAACATAATCTCCCTGTACATTGAGGCACTTGTCCCATCCTTTCACAAGCCCCCGAAAAACCAACAGCATAAAATTCTTTGGGCAGCTGTTGGAACCAGGCGGTGACTTCCCTTTCTACAGCTTCATCGTCAGGAAAATGTTCAGCCGAAAGATGTTGTTTAAGAGGGCCAAACAAATGGTAGTTGCTTGGAGCAAGGTCAGGGCTATACGAAGGATACATGCATACATAACTCATAAATTCACTGATCTGTTGTCCGAATTGGACCGGATATTTAACTCGTCAAAATAAGACTTGATTGCAGAAATACAATTGTGTCAACAGCAAACAACCACACACAACCAAAAGCACCAAATAACCTTAATTTACATTGTCATTCATAAACAAAATTACAAGGAATATAATTATTAAATGTTATACAGTCTTAGCAGAAATATATTCATCTATTGAATAAAAAGCATTTGTTGTGAGGAAACTTTTCAGTGTGCGTTTAAAAATCTTCACATTATCACTCAACCTTTGTATATTTTGAGGAAGATTATTATAAACCATAATGGATGAATATAACACGCCTCTCTGGATTGAAGATAATCTCACTGATGACACACGTAGTTTTGCAAACTGTCAAGGACTTCCCACTTGAAGTTTCGTAGCATCTTGTTTGTCTTGTTGGCAGTATGGGGACGCGTGTCGTCATGCAAGAGCAACACGCCTTTCGTGAGGAGTCCTGGTCACTTCCATTGAATGGCCTTATGAAGTTTCCTGAGGATGTTACAGTAGGAGTTGGCATTTATGATTTGTCCTTGAGGCTGGAATGCGGTGAGCAGTATACCTTCGTGATCCCACTCACCGCTTGGTTCTGATAGCAGCCCAAAGAACTTTATGCTGCTGGTTTTCACAGGCTTGTGAAATGATGGGACAAGTGCCTCAGTGAACAGGGAGATTATGTTGAGAATTAAAAGCACTTTTCAAATCAGTATTCATATTTGTTTAAGTTCTGTGTCCATTTGTAACTTACTTATTGACTTACCTATGTACCATCATGGCATGGTGCTTAACTAATTAAGCACAAGGACACCTTTGCCTTTTTTTTATTTTCACAAAGTTTATTTTCCGTTAGAATCCTGTCATATTTGGCACTTTGTAGAATATACATTTTTGAGTCATATTAGGATGCTGGACTAATGGTCCAGTTTGTGGGAATGGTTTAGCTGGAAGTTGTTCTGAAATCCTTCTGTAATGATGTCAGTAGTGGGACTTGCCTGAAAGTGTTTAAGTGTCAGTTCATACATAAAATTTAATTCAGTTATATTTATATATTGAGTTGCCTCAACCTGTTTTCTGCCACAGAATCACTTGAATGCATTGAGCAGTTTCTGCCAGACATAGTGTGATTCAATTGGTCTAGTGTTTTGAAAGTGGTTTTGTTTGGGAAGTAATTTGTGCCTGTGTGTGTGTATGTTTTAATGAATGCAAGTCATGCAAAATATTTGATTTTCAACACTTTATGTTTTGTATTTTGAGTACAGAGGGCTGTCTTGTAAGGGTAGTCAGGTTTTTTACATAAAACTGTGACATTGCTTGCATAACTGAGCTTGTCAGTAGAAGTGTTAACCAAACATGTATATTCAGCAGGTGCTGTGTGGATACTAGTGACATCAGTGGAATCGACCAAGACAAGATGTCAGCATTAACAGCTGAGCGGGATCAGTTGAAGACTATTCTGCGTGGTCTTCTTATATCTTCAGCACAGACCATGACAGCTGAGCAGCTCCACAGGGACTTCAAACAGCAGGAAGGCCAGAATGTACCTTACCGTAAATTTGGCTATAGCAGTTTCCTGGAATACTTGAAGTCTATTCCAGATGCTGTTGCAGTAAGTTTTATGTATTGTTCAAGATCAAGTGGAAAGTTAAAGCATCAAATAATTGTGAGAAATGTTCAAGAGAGAAAAGTTTGTAAGAAGGTTAGAGGATTTGTAGGCCAATGAAATCATACTTAAAATGTTTGTTAATGTTTATGGCTGCAGCAATGCAGGCTCTAGAAATATGCTTGCCCATTCACCATGGTTTAGTTAACAGAATCTTGGGTAAATGTGTTAAAATTTTGTAAACATATAATATTGCCTTTGTTGCTGAAATTGCTGCAGTATTGTAAGTGCTGTGTAAATCCACCCTGGGTTATGCAAGACTTAGTTTATGTAAATACAATTTTACATTAAACCTCTGAAAAGAAATTGAAACTGTATACAGAAATTTATGTCAGTGGCTAAGCTGATTGCACACATGAGATAAATTTATTTGTCATTCCGCCAATTAATTGGCTATCATCGACACTATGTTCTTGATACTGACAGCATCATTAAATAACAAACCCATATCAACAAACAACAAGCTGCTACTGTAAGTTAAGGTATGTTAATGTTAAATTATTTTTTATATCTGTGGACTACCATCAAAGTATGTACAAATGTATGTACTTAAGGTGATGTTCAGCATACCAAAAATGGTTTGTGGAATTGAACTCCTAAGTTGGGGACTCACTATATATTTTTTACCAGTATAGGAAGTCTGTATTAAACACACTAGAAGGCTAAGATTGAATGGATATTGTTAAGTGGCTAATAGAACTAAGGTGTATTTTTGAAGTCTTAATTGTAATGAATAAAATAGTATGGTGCATATTGTTATTATAATGTGTTCCAGTGTTCCCAGTGTGCTACAGAAGGCATACCCCATGTTAGGAATTACAGTTCATCACTTGGCAGCGGTACTGGAGAGCTGTATATCTCCTAGGCCTATATGATCATGAGGAAGTAAATGTTAATGGATGATGGTTTTTTGAACAATTAAAATCTGGAAATTACACTAAAATGTTAAACTTGTCTTTTTAATTATCTTCCCTTTTAATCAGCTTGTGACAGAATAAACTCTGAAAGTTAGTGCTGTAGACATGCAGGTTCATTCTGCAAGAAACTGAAATGCATAAGTATGTGATGTGGCAAGAAATGTTCTTTCAACTGATACATTTGTGCGTTTAGAGTCAGAATGGAATGTTATTCTGTTCATGTAAATGTTCTGATTGAAGTCTATGGATCCTGACTATTGTTTTATTTGTGAGGAGGCAGGAGAATGCTGGCTTTGTTCTCGCAGCCACAGTATGTTGGTCTGAAGGAAACAGATATGGAGATTTAGTGGTGCCTTGCTTACAGCTCCTGCTGCACTAACCTGTATGTGCCTTCAATCCTTTTTTTTTCCCCTGTGTTAATGGACTCGGCAGATTCTATTGTGCATTCGATAGTCTCTGGGTCTAAAGAATATGTCAGTACTTTTTTGTTATTTTAGTAGATGTATTAATGTTTAAAATGTCTTTTTCCTCTTTAGAGTGACATTTTCTTTCCTTCAATTATCTTAGATTGGTTCTTCATTCAATGGTGGCAGTCCAGTAGTACTACCAGTGGTGTCAGAAAAGGTATCACATATTGATGCATTGGTACAAAAGCAGAAAGTGAACACTCAAAAATGGGCATCTCAGCGGAGACCTCCTGCCCAAAAATTATATGTTGAAGCACCTCCAAGAATGAACAGTGTAAACTACAGCAGTAAATATGATATGAGACAAAGGGTTTTGGTACCATACTCTTTGCAACAAAGAATTTGCAGAATGGTGCATGAAAATCCAAATGTAACTGTGAAACTTCTACTTTAATCAGTAACATGTGAGTATTTCTGATGTAAGAAATGTATGTCTCCATGCGAAATAAAGCATGTTAGACCAGTGATTTCCTTGCTGCATTTGGCATTTTATCACAGTTATGTTGGTGCAGATACATTAGCGGTTACAGTCCTGCAATTAAGACGAATACTATACAATAACATTCTTTATTTGGTTACAGTAATTCCATTACATCAAAGTAACAGGAGTAAGTATTAAGAGTAACCTAAAATTTTTTGCCCTGCTAATGTTTGTGTTCATTTCTGTAATAAATTTCCATCTCATTAATGCTATGTTTTCTTTAGTTGTAAAATCAAGTTAAGTGGTCCCATAAGAATGTAAAGATTACTGACCCAGCTATTATAAAATGTTGTATAAATTGTTTTCTGCATTCAAAATCTCAAAGATATGAATGGAGGTAAGATTCTCTACCATGTTCAGAAGGGTGGATGTTGGTAGAATTCTGTATTATGTAAAAAATTACGTATATACAAGGTAGTTCAAATATGACCAGGACTGATTTTTTTTAAAAAACATAATTTCCAAAAGCTTACTTGCACATATCAGTCTTCAACATACTCCCCTTCGGAGTCAACACATTTTTTCAAATGTTCTGGAAGCATCCTGATGCCCTTTTCAAAAAAGGTTTGTGGTTGGTGGCGTATCCACTTGCAAACAGCCTGGACGACGGCCTCGTTGTCCACAACCGCATGCCTTGCAAGTCTGATTTGAGCCTTCCGAACAGGTAGAAATCACTTGGGGGCCAAATCGGGACTGTATGGTGGATGTGTCAGAAGGTTCCATTTGAATTTTTGGAGGGTTTCAATTGTTGTTCTGGCCGTATGGGGGCATGCATTGTCTCGAAGGAAGGCTACCCACTTTCCACCTGTCTTCCACTTGGATTGGTTTTTTTCCTTCATGTCTGTTGCCAGGAACTCTGAGTAATAAGCTGCATTGACTGTTCTGGCATCTGTCAGAAAGCCTACATGCCCTGCCAGTCCTAGAAGAACGTTGCCATCACTTTTCCTGCCGAATGGCTCCTCTGCGCTCTCTTGGGTTTGGGAGAACTGGTATGCTGCCACTCGTGTGATGACTGCTGGGACTCAGAAATGAAGTAGTGCACCCACATTTCATCGGTGGTCACTATAGACTTCAAAAATGCATCACCTTCGTCTTCAAACTGCTGTAGGAGATGACTGGCAGCTTGCATGCACACCATTTTGTTCATGTCTGTCAAAGTGTGTGGTACCCACCGTGCATTCGCCTTGTGATAGTGCTGATGGTATTTCATGATGTCTTCTACACTACCAACACTGATGGACAGCACTGCTCCAAGTTCCTTGATAGTGATGCCCCTATTCTCTCGAATAAGCGCATCTGCACGATCAGTGTTTGGCTCAGTGACAGATGTTGGCGACCGACGATCATGTGGTTCATTCTCCACGTGCTCTCTGCCCTCTCTGAAGCACTTACACCACTCAAACACACGGGTCCGTGAGAGACACTCTTCCCCATACTGTTGTTGGAGTCTGTGGTGAATTTCAGTGGATGGGACGTTTTCTCCAACGAGGAATTTGATCACAATGCGTTGTTCCACGCCCCGCGGTACCTTCTGTTCGCTCATCACTCTAGCAACTCTCAGACAGGACTGAACAGGAGGGAGGATGGAGGTTGTGGCTACACACTCAAGGTCGCACAGATGCTGCGCAGTGCCGCTTGTTTACAGACAAATCACATCCCAGTCATATTGAACCACCTTGTAACATGGTTTTGTTATAATGAGGTCACTTGTGCAGGATTTAAAAACCGGCCAAAAGAATGGACTTTATTATCTAATGTTTACTCCATCAGAATAAATACGTAGAAGTTTGTTTAAAATTCTGATAAAACTGTGAAAGCATGTACTATACATCAGCAATTCACAACTGCATGCCTGAGGCATCGAAGTGGAACCAGTGTCTGTCCTGTATTAGGGTGACCAGAGAGTGTGGTATGACCACAGAGGGTGACCAAAACATGCAAACCATGCTGAGGTAAAGTAAAGTTGTCCTTATACTTAACTAATTAAGCACTATGCCATGAAGGCAAATGGGTGAATGGATGTATATAAATTCACGTTTTCTTGACCTTGGTAGTAGTTGGAGATGAGTGGTCAGCTTCACGCCCTGACCGCGGGAATTTTGATATACTCAGCACAGTCTCCAGCTAAAGGACATTGATGTGTTTCAGTTACAGAAAAATTCAAAGCATTTAAGGTGAAAATGTTGTTGAAATGATGTCGCAATGGGAATCATGTGTGAGACTTCAGCCATATGTCAACTGTTGTAACTTAAGCAGTGTGTGAGAATGTTGATGTTCAGATGCAGTCACAATTACGCCGTGGTGACAGGGGGGCGTGTAGGTATCCATCCACTGCCACCACATATTATGCCGTAAGGGGTTAACAATAATACTAGATTACCCTCAGCTAGGATATTCCTGGTTCTGGACCTTCTTTGTTGCATACAGCTGCCACCATCTATTATATCTTAAGAGGGGTGATGAAAATACTAAGGGCTGGTAGCGCGGTAGTCGAGTGTTCTTTGTTGGCTGGCCCCTCCATCACTGGCGCCTCTTCGTGATGGCGTAGAGCGGGTGTGTCAGGTCTGACCTGCCTCTACCCATCGACTGTCACACCATATATTACACCTCTGCGACAGGGGTGAATTGGATATCTCACTGCTGTCACCAATTATTATGTCTTAGTGACAAGGGTGGGTTAAAACACACTAGATCACTTTGTCTGCCATTTCTCTTTGGATAGTCCCTTCGCTTCGTCAGTCAACCCTTTGTTGACTTGGCCCACCGCCCTTGCCATAAGTAATACTTCGATGGCAGGGGTGAGTAAAACACAATTACTAATTCTCTCTGTCGGCCACCTCTCATTGGCCGATCGCCACCTCTTCTGCCATCACTTTGTTATGCCTGAAGGGGCTAATGAAATACCTAATGTACTCTTCCCTTGTTCCATCAGGAACGCCCTCTCACTGTCTCCTATTAGTCTTTCACCCTTAACTAGGATTCTCATAACCCTTACTGCTAGTTGCATCCGGCTGCCTGGGTCAGTTCTGCCTTCGCTGGGCCAGGATCGCTCTGGATCGGTTGTGGATGGGTTGGTTCGGGGAAGTAAATCACAATCCCCGTACATCCTACTCTAATCACACTGTCTATGTACACCCTTATTTACAATAGGAGAATGCCGATGTCTGTTGGTTTACACATGGTATCGGTGCGTGATAGCTCTGAATTTCGTCCTAATCTCTCGCCTAGAGCTGATGGCTTGAGACTGTCACTTCCTTCATTACTATTACTCGACACACCATCTCTGTCCTACCCTAGGTACACCGGTCTATTATCACTTTAATTTATATCCTATTTACAATATTAACAATGCCGACTCTCAGTGGGGACTACATAGTGTCTTTACTTTACTACGCTATGACCTCATCATGGTCTCCCCTTCTGGGGTGTAGGACTTGAGTCTGTCTCTCTCTCTACCTCTCTACTTCTCTACTGTTTTGACTCATGAGGATATACAAGTATTCATCATCCAATGTGCCCTTTTCCTCTCTCTATTCCCTACTACTCATTACACAGTTCTACACTTCTATCATAATACTTCACCCTTAAAATATTCTGCCCCTAAAGTTATTCATACTGAAAGCCTACATATATTCATCACCAATCACTGGTCACCACAGTGAACAACAGATGTGCGTGCTCTGCACACTACTCGTAATCATAACACACTATCTAACGTCTACCATATTTACTACACTGGCAACCTTGCCTATTACTTGTTACATCATTTTTCGTATTGTACCCCCCAAGAGCTCGCTGGGCACATTGGACATTGCTTTCAACATTTAACAACAACAATTTACCAACAACCATAAAGTTTAACAGCATGGCTTGTATGAGCAAACATGACTTACTTGAGATAGAGATGCAGCGAAACCACCACTTGTAGTACCCATGTCGGACAGAGCCTCCGGCTAATTACTGAATATTACGTTTTTTTTTATTGATCTCCTGAGTGATGAGCCGCTCTCGCTCTGCTACCACTTGAGCCGCTTACGCTCTGCTACCATTTGGACCGTCTGTCCGCTCTGGTACTATATGTACCACTTGTACCGTCACACTCTGGCACCCTTCGGCTCCATCTACCCTTCTACAATCGGAAGGGGAAACGTTGCTCCGTCATATGGCTCTCGTGCTGTGCTCGCACGCTCCCTAAGTTAGAGTAAGGGATCCAAGCTAGCAGCGTGGTAAATGTAGTTACAAATGATGGCAATCAATATATTAACAAATAACAGAATATAATAAACACAGCAGAAATTAAACAGAACAACTGAACTAACTGCACATTTACATGCTCGCACACAGCGGCATCTAACTCGGGCAGAATGGCCCATATTTACTGGCGCAACAATTTGCCTTGGTTGCATGAAAACATAACTACTACATTATAGCCGGGCCACAGGCTGAGTCTAAATCAAATACACAATATAAATTATAAAAACAGATTTAACTAAACTGGTACGAGTCGCCGCCGTCCTACAAACCCAATGACGGGTGACCGCGGGCGATCTCGTCGGCCGCGAACCAGCCCAGTACTTGCCGAAACCAAATTTGGACTCCCAGCCGAACAGGAATTTGACAGTCGCTCCGGCTGGCTCGGCGCCGCGAGCAAGGCCCTATGGATCCATAACCAGAACTGAACTCCGAACTCGAATTAACTTCCAAGCAAGGCTCCCAGGGGTAGAAAGGAGGGGAGAGGGCAATACCACGTGACCCAGTCCCGCATGGGGATGGGGTGGGGGATAAGTTTAAGAACCTTGATCAAGGGGCTGGAAGCCGATGACGTCATACCGGAGCCACTGCATGGCTCAGTGAGTTTTTTCCTCATTTTTATATTATTAAAATCGCTGATGCAGCAGCTAACAAAGAGGGAGGTTAACTCCTCCCTTAGTCCTCAATTGCTAAAGCGGTAATTTCTAATTGGCTATATCCGACTCGTTGCGGGCAATCGCGGTGCCTCCCTCTTTGCATTTTGTAATTTCGTGGTCTCCAGGTGTTTCCAAACGCCACTTACAGAGTGGCGCGATTGCGTGTCTTCACTGACTACGGTGTTTGTTGACTGCGTTCCACAGCCTGTGTGTGGCCATCACTGCTCTAATTACGGTGAGACGCTCTTGTAATGTTCAGGCAATAATTTTGATTTCCAGTCTCAAAATTTGCGGCATAACAGTCACTGTTACATATATTAAGGTCCTGAGAGCAGTCTTTGAGGATAATTTCTTCACAAGTTCACAGAATGCTTGAAAAAACAGTGGATCACATATTCATTGCAGCAGATCTGGTGGGATGCTGCTTGTCTTAGTTGGATGAAGAGAAACTTCTATATTCCATTGATTAAAACTTAAATTCATTATTTTAGATGAACTCATGTTTGGACTTTTGGACCAAAGTTTACAAAAGGATATTATTGTAATTGGATCTTATTGTGAGGTTTTATAGCACTTTTCAGGGCAACCTCTCTCTCACCTTGTAATCACCAAAGAGATAAACATTGAAAACAAACTCCTAGCATTCTTTAAGCATGGGCGGCTGCAGCAGAAACTGTTTAACCAAAATTTAATGTTTTTAGAGTTAAATACAGTGGCAGAATCTACAGAATCTACAGAATCTACTTTTGTTGAAGACAGTTTGGTGCCAAGACATTGCGCATACTTTCCAGTATATGATTGACCTTGACTACATTACCTTTGGAAATGAAATTGATGGTTGTTGAATACCGAACAACAATAGAATCTGTCTCACTGGTAAAGCCAGTTTTGACAAAATTTACATTTAACATTTAGGCCCATAGTGCCCATAATATTGTGTCCTGAAGATACTGTCTATATAGTTTTATTTAAGGACATCTCCAACAATTAAATTTAATCAAGATCATTAGAAATGTTTTTCAGGTAATTACCATTTTGTATTTTGGGGCCCAACCTGAAGACCCCCTGTTTTTGTAGCTGGTGAGTTCGTATTCACCGGGCACTGACCTAGAATTGATGAACTGTTAAATACTGAATAGGAATAAAGTCCTCTGAACTGTTCATGCACTAGTGAGACACACATCTACATCCAGACACATGCATGCACGCATAGAGAGATGGCATACCATAAAACCATGCTGTCAGAATTTTTAAATCATTTTCTTCCATGATCCCAGTACTTCCTGTTGTACAAGGGTCAGTCAAAAAGTTCCCGGAATGGCGGTACAGCACTCTAATGACAGGACATATGGCAACACTTACCTAATCACCTTCAAAGTAGGACCCTTGCGCACACACACACTTGCTCCATTGATTCTGCCGTTGTTGGAAGCAGTGGTGGAAGGCTTCTTTCGGAATCTTCCAGAGCTCAGCCATTGCATTTGATTTGATGTCCTCCATGGTTGGGACATGTGTCCCCTTGAGGCCTTTTTCAGAGTAGGGAACAGCCAAAAGTCACTCGGAGTGAGATCCGGAGAGTATGGTGGTTGAATGATGACAGGACTGTTTTTCTCGGTGAGGAATTGCTGCACAACAAGTGATGTGTGGCTCAGTGCATTATTGTGATGCAGAAACCGTTTTCCCTGCCACTTTTCATGCCGCTTCCTCCGAACCGCATCGCGCAACCTCTGCAAAACTTGCACGTAGAAATGGCCAGTAACAGTACCAACTTCTTCCTCCAACTCTATAATGGTCATTCTTCGATCACATCGAATCAGTTGTCGCACTTTCCAATGATTCAGTTCTGGATGTCGAAGGTCTCCCACTGTGCTGGTCATCCCCTAATGTCTCCTGCCTATTCTTAAACTGGGAAAACCAGTTGTAAACTGCGGATTTATTTAGTGCAGTATCACCGTAAACTTGCCGCAAGGCCAATAGCGTCTCTGAAGCAGATTTTTCCCAATTTGCACATGAACTTTATGTTCGCACGCTGTTCGAACTGCGACATTGTGCTGAATGACCAACGCTCATGTCTAATTCAAATGGAACAGTAACGACACTGCACACTGAAACCTGTCCAGACCTGTTGTGCCTGCGAGCAGACATGCTGAGCTTCCCACCACAACAGTGTGTGCACTATCTTATTGCTCGTTCTCCATCTGCAGGGGAATTCCAGGAACTGTTTGACTGACCTACGTATACTGCATATGTGAGAAAGTGAGAGTTGATGGTTGCATAGTGGTAGTGTTAACGTTTGGCTTGCAGGAGTATTTTTCTCTTGAAGACAGCATTCTTCATAGTCACTGCCATGAAAACCTCAAAACTTACATATTTTTCTCTTGTTTTTGAAGTAGAACAGTTATTTTTAGTCAAAAATAATAGTCTTTTTTTATCTCTGTGGCCTCTAATTTTTAAACCCTCAAGGAGGATGAGGCGGGCAGGGCATGTAGCACGAATGGGGGGGACAAGGAATGCATGTAGGGTATTGGTGGGAAAGCCAGAAAGAAAGAGACCACTGGGAAGACCAAGGTGTAGGTGGGTGGGCAATATTAAAATGGATCTTAGAGAGATAGGATGGGATGGTATGGATTGGAGTTGTCTGGCCAGTAGGGATAGGGACCAGTGGAGGGCTCATGTGAACACAGTAATGAACCTTCGGGTTCCATAAAATGCTGGGAAATTCTTGAGTAGCTGCAGAATTGGCAGCTCCTCAAGAAGGGCTCAGCTCTGTGAGTAAGTAAGTAAGGTCAAATGTAGAGTGTGAGAATATGTGGTCTACATGATTTTTAGTAGAATTCAGAGATGTTACCAAGAAAAAAGAAGTTTCATGACGTGATTGCATACATACATGCCAGCTTGTTGCTGTTGGGATTGATTGTGATGTAGGTAATGAATATTGCAAGTAGGATTTTCTGTAACAGTACTTGTAAGTTAAGCTGTAATATGCGTAGAATTTATTCGCAGATTAACTTGTTGTAGCATAGAAATTATATTATATAAGACAATATGAATGTGTCTTTCAGGGAGTGCCAATCCAGACCATTGAGCGAGAATTCTTTTCTGCCCAGACTCGACAGAACTATGGAATGTATGACAGATATGATATTTACCAGCTGCTTAGTTGCCTTAGTCAGCATCTCATGATTTCCGACAGAATGGTTTACCCTTTGTGGAGAAAAGAGCCTCAACACAGACTTGCGTCAGGAAGCTCAGTGGCTGGTTATCAAAAATCAAACAATTCTGAATTGGGGACTTACAAGTTCTTGCCCGCTGGATGTGAAAATAATCGTGATATTTGCTTGCAACAAAATGGTGCTTTGAAAGAGGACAATGAACTTGGGGAAGTGAGTGATAAGAATGATTCACATACTGCAGTGCCAGTTTGTGATCAGATTGGTGTCACTGATATTACACAGAATGTCAAAGAAATCACTATAGAAGGTGTGTTACATTTAATCTTTTATTATCCTCTATAATTTAACTTTTTAACTAATTCATAAGCTTTGTTAACAATGGTGCTAGATTTCTTATTGCTGTCACTTGTGTCTGTTTATAGTCTATTTTCCTTATTGTATGTTTTTGTAGGTACCAAATGGTGTAATTATGTTGATGTATATGGCCTCACCCCTGGTTATTTTTAGACTGGTTAATAGAATTTACTGAAACTTAGAACCTCATGCTGAGGAAGCCCACTTTTTTTTGTTTCCTCTGCTATTAGAGTCAATATTGTCTCTGGTTCATCACTGCTGAAAATTCACAGAAATCTTGATAATTGAGAATTAATACAAAAAGTAAAACTTTTTTTTTGTGTGTGTGTACACATATTGTACAAGATGGCTGGTAAGTTGGTACATGTGTTTTATAGGAGCATGTCACTTCCATCTTTAGGGTAGAAATAAGAGGTGGTTGGAAATTTAAATGAAGGGGAAAGGAAAAGGGTCATAGAGGAATGCAATTTTTACATAAGAAACTTGCTGTTAACTCTGTGAAACCTGAGTTCTGCAGTACTTAAGTGAGAATGATTCTGATTTATATTTAGTGTTGTAACCGTACGCCCCTTGTCAAAATTATATAATTAAGGGTATGAACTACTTATGCCTTGTTTAATGCCGTGAGAGACGCTCCATCGGCGAGATACCATCCCGGGACCGTCTAGTTGTAATTCCGCTATTGTCCTCCTTAGGCTAAGGGTGCCGCTATTGCCCCTAACGTCGCCTGTTTACTCCCAGTATATCATAAACCCATGAACTGACTGTGTGCGAGACCGGCCAGGAGGGGTCTTAGATTCCTTGAAGACCTACAGAGGTTTATGGGCATCTCGAAAAATACGAATGTAGGCCAGATGTCGGGCTCGACCCTTGGTTTTCTCTTGTTATTTTCTTGTTTTTCTGATGCCAACTGGGGGACTTGTAAAGAGGGGAGTCGGTGAGAGGGAGCGAAGGAGGACAGTAGTTGGAAGGTAGATAGAGAAGAGAGAAGTGTTCAAGAGTAGTGGTAGCTAGTTGGCGGACGGAGCGGCTAGCTTGGAGAATAATGTCAATATTCATCATTAATGAAATTTTAAATTAAAACTGCAATCCACAACGTTCTGGAGATCCCGGATTTATTTACCCCGAAGTGTGTTCCACTCCCATCTCCGAAGCACCCGTATCCTGTGATTAAGAACTCAAGCTCGAGCGAAAGTCATGGCAACTGTACGTCGGCGGACGGCTGCAGTGAAGTTTAGGAGTCTTCAGATGGTATGGTGTGGAGGCACAGGAAGAACTTTCACTTGTCTATTAAGACTGTTCTGTTACTGTTTATGAAGTGTATTAAAGGTTAGTATGGCAGATCAGTTTAACTACAAGCTCAGATAGACAAACTACAATAAATCCCCCATTTAATTTATTTTTGGGTAGCAGTGAACTTCAACACTAAACAGAAAAAAAAATGGAGGAAGTCAGACCGTGGGATTATTGACTTGGGATCATTGAAATTGAACGTTAAGTGAGGCAAAACCTTAAATTGAGGAACATTAAAAGGGTGTTCCACTATATTTCATTATTTCAGTACAGTTTATTGATGGGAATTATGTTAAATTAGCCACAAACACACTGATGTTTTGATAATTGTGAATAATAAATTGGAAAGTATGTGTCCTTTCCACTACATTAATCACCATCATCTAAACATTGACACTATGTGGTTCTGAGCTATGTATGTATGTATGTCTGAGGGGTGGGCCACAATCCCACCCCTGTACTGCGACCAGCAATGATATATTGTGGCTCTAAATTAAATGAACTGCAAATAAATAAGTACAGTTTATTTTAAGAGCCCCCCTGCCATAAGTGCTGTCATATTCTATATTCACACTCTGTAACTAACTGCACTCTGTCCTGACCCAGATGAGTTGAGTCCACATCCCTAAGCCCTGTTTCTTTGAGATCCTGTTTGTTACATTCAGAACAACAATATGACATCAGTGAGCTTTAGCATTATGGAGGCATCCTGTCCATAATAATCTCACTACAATGTATCCTGTAACATTGTTTCTGTAGGATGAATGAAATGGAAATGAAAAGTCATGTGACTGTGAAATATTCTTACAACTGACTCTTAGAACTGTTGAGGAGTTATGGAATATATGTTCACTATGCAAGTTGTGTAATATGCTTTCGTCTTTGTATTTTGATGCAGATGTAGAAGTGATTCCCAACATAAGATCACCATCAGTTGATACAGGTGCATACAATAATTCCAGTGATATTGTAGGTGAGAGAATGAAAACAAACTTCCAGATCTTGTTGAAGAAACATCCTAGTGGCATCTGGTGTTCAGAACTTCCAAACTTATATAAGGTAATGAAGTGAACTGTATGGCTATAGGCTGCACATATGTGATCATAAATTTTAGTTTCCCGTGGTGCTCCTGATGTAGCTTTTCAGCTTGGTATGTCGGCCACTAATAGGCGTACACGGTGCTATTGGAAAGTTCCCATACTAGGTCAAAAAAGGAATGCTGGCTTAACTTACTCAGTTTTGGCTGCCACCCCCTTCAGAGTAGTCTCCTTTGGGAATGTATACAGCAATTCTTAATGAAAGTGACAAAGTTATTATTCTGTAATATATTGTCAAATAATGTGTGTGAAGGAGTTAAATAATATCAGAAAACAAAACATTACTCATACATTTTGTGTTGAAATTGTGTTCCTTAAAAGTCCCTTTGTTATTATCATGTTTAGGATGTGTGTTCTTTCTTCGTGTTGCAGGAAGAGTTCAAAGTTCCATTAGAATATGTTGACCTTGGTTTTATAAGTGTGGTACAGATGGCATCCAGTTTGCCTGATGTGTTCCATTGCATTAGACCAGATGGAATAGATTGGAAGCTGTTTGATGCTCAAGAAAAACTACCTCCGCCATATTCCAAATATGACATAAAATCCATCAAAACTGGTAGGTTATATTTGTTTTTTTTAGGTTTATTTTATGTAAAATCTTATATATACTGGAGTTTCTGCAAATAATACAAGAGTGGGATGTGTACTTTGATTTCATATGTTTTTTAGAGTCTTAATGTTCATTTATTTGTTGCTTATAAAATGCTGACAGCTAATCAGGAACTGGATGTGCTACTGTTTCCTTATTTTTTTTTTCATGATTCTGCCAGACTGCATTGCCAAAGTGATACAGTGTAGCATGATAATGTACCGCATTTCATCAAAATATGTGTTCTTGTTAATATTCAGTATCTGAAAAGGGTTGAAACGCAAAATCCTCAGAGCTGTTTCCTAACTTCTGATTGTGTGTATCACGATTCAGCACTAAAAAAAAAAGAATGTGGGTTTGGCAATATACACTGTTTGAAGAGGTTATTGTGGTGATATGAATATAAAAATTATGTTTCAAAATTTTTGATGCCTTTGTCATTGTGTGAGCTAAGATTTTAAAGGTTTCATTATACATAACCTCTTGTATTTGTATATGAAGCAGTGCTTCATGAGCAGATGTTGTGCCTGATAATTGCTGCATTCCAGCAATGTGTGAATACATTGAACCAACCCTTTCATATGTTACATTTTGTGCTATTTCTATGCAGAGCTGATTCACTTGACAGTTTTTGCATATTGTTTTTCTATTTTTTTGTGCTTCTTGCTTTGAAATAGTGAAGCTGATCTTTGAGGTACTGAATATTAAATGTCTACTTTAAAATAAGTTTATAATGAAATGAAATGAAATTTAAGGAAGTTTTATGTTTAATTTTCAATTATTGACACCTTATCAACAGTATATGTAACATAATGTCTTTGAGTTGGTTTTACTGTTTAATACTGGGTATTTAATGTATTTTTCATTACTTGATTTCTGCATTTCCAGAAATAATATTAATCACTTAATTTCAGTGTCAACAGAAATGGTGCCTACCGTACCATCAAAAGTAAAGCATAACATTCAGAAGCTTCTCATGTGTCATCAAAGTGGTTTACCTAGTGATAAGTTCCTTGATCAATATGAGGTATGTATATGTTCTGTATATATTGTAACATGTTTTTGCCACTGAAGACACTGTTCAGATTGTTAATTGGTTTATTTAACAACCTACAAGTCTTGGCTACAATTAATTATAACACTGTTATGGGTTTACACAATTTACAACCCTACACAATAATCTGTCCACTCTGTCCTCAGTAGTCTACACGTATTCACAGTACGATATGGGAGCTATACCAGTGTCACTGTATTACACACACCAAATTACTTCTCTTGTGAGCCAAGCATCTACTTCTCACGCTATCACTTCTAATCACATGTTCCGGTATTCTTCTTTCTGCTACAACTGAACTCGGTGACTGTTCCATCCGCACTGTGTCACTTGTGCTCACACACTGACAGACTACTCACTCCCTGGCTAACTTGTAACTAACTGTGAATAGTGTTCACTGCTCCTTATTTAGCCCCATTACGGACAACACAGAAAACAGTTACGTAATAGGCACCACTGTTGCGTAACATCGTGTTTACCAACTGCCTAGGAACAGTCGTTGCATGGACTCCCCGCTGTGTTTACAAAGGCGTTGCTGGGCAGCGCTGCCGGGAGTTGTTTACAGCTATGTAGCAATTGTGGTGTCCTGTGTTGCGTCACTGCGGGAAAAGGGGTGTCTACTGAGCGTTGCACACTGATGGACAGAGTGGGGGTATGTAATGTCACTCGCGAGATCACAGAGTTCACGCGACCTCCACCTCCCGTTATACCATCCATGTCACACTGCTCCCTTCTAAAGGTCATTCTTGATTGAATTCAAATTTCGTCAGGAAATCCTCTTTGTCTTTCTTTCTATTGGCCTCCCTTCTGTCTTGCATCTGCACTCGGTCGGCATCTGCTTTTACTTGGTTGGCCCTCATCTCTTTCAGAAGTTCCAACATCTGCTGTGACTCCATTTTTGTTTCAGTGTAATAGTCGAAGAACTCGTAAATTCAATTATTCGTTGAGGTGTGTTGAAGTTCGTAAACAATTCTGACACCAGTGTAACGTGTTTTTGCCACTGAAGACGCTGTTCAGATTGTTAATTGGTTATTTAACAACCTATAAGTCTTGGCTACAATTAATTATAACACTATTACAGGTTTGCACAATTTACAACCCTACACAATAATCTGTCCACTCTGTCCTCAGTAGTCTACACGTATTCACAGTATGATATGGGAGCTATACCAGTGTCACTGTATTACACACACCCAATTACTTCTCTTGTGAGCCAAGCATCTGCTTCTCACGCTATCACTTTTAATCACACGTTCTGGTATTCTTCTTTCCGCTACAACTGAACTCTGCGACTGTTCCATCCGCACTGTGTCACTCCTGCTGCTCACACACTGACTGACTACTCCCTCCCTGGCTAACTCGTAACTAACTGTGAATAGTGTTCGCTGCTCCTTATTTAGCCCCGTTACGGACAACACAGAAAAGAGTTACGTAATAGGCACCACTGTTGCGTAACGTCGTGTTTACCGACAGCCTAGGAACAGGGGTGTCTACCGAGTGTTGCACACTGATGGGCGGAGTGAGGGTATGTGACGTCTCTCGTGAGATCACAGAGTTCACGTGACCCCCACCTCCTGCTACGCCATCCATGTCACAATATGTTAATTCCTTTCTTATTTGTTAAAATATGTGGTTTTTGTATTTGAATTGTGTGTGTGATTAATTATTATTATGAAGAACAACTTATTATGCTGGGATTAAGGTGTTTTAACACCCTACCTGTTCCAGTAAAAGATCTACAAGATCTTGTATCCCATAATATAAAACAATTTAAATTGGCCTTGAAAAATTTCTTGTGTTCCCATTCATTTTATATGTTGGATGAGTATTTTAAATACAAGATGAACTAAACTTGTTATAATGCTGTTTATATGGTATATTGTATAAATTACTTTCAGTTGATATTTGTATATATACGTGGTGCAATCCAAAAGTTCCTGAAATATATTAATAAAAACTATTACATCTTACCTAGATCTTACTCTGCACCATCACCTTCAAAGTAGTCCCCTTGGGAGTGCATACACCGATCCCATTGTTTCTGCCACTTTTCAAATGCATCCTGGAAGTCTTTCTTTGTTAGTGTGTTTAGTACTGTCTGCATTTCCACTTGAATTTCCTCAACTGTATCAAATATTCGTCCCTTCAACTTGATTTTCATCTTGGGGAAGAGAAAGAAGTCACATGGAGCTAAGTCTGGCGAGTACGGTGGGTGGGGAACAACTGCCATCTTGTTTTTAGCCAAAAATTCTTGCACAATGTAAGCCGTATGCGGTCGTGCATTGTCATGGTGGAGTACCCAGTCATTCGTGCGCCACTTCTCTGGACGATTTCTCCTCATGTCCTCCCTCAAACGCCTTAGAACATCGCGATAGAACTCTTTATTGACTGTGTGATCCGGAGGGATGAACTCCTTATGATGAACAATCCCGTCAATATAAAAAAAAACAGATCAAGATGGACTTAATTTTGCTCTTGACTTGTCAAGCTTTTTTTGGCCGAGGTGAAGAAGGGCTCTTCCATTGCAACGATTGCTGCTTGCTTTCAGGGTCGTAGCCATAAACCCAACTTTCGTCACCAGTGACAACCTTCGAAAGAAAGTTTGGATCCTCTTGAAGCTGTTGCTGAAGTTCCCTGCAGACTTCCAAGCAATGCTGCTTCTGTTCATTTTGCAGCAGTCGTGGCACAAACTTCGCCGCAGTCCTCATGTTCAGTTCCTCTGACAGAATTCATTGACATGTACCATAACTTAGTACCAAGGTGTTACAGAGGTCTTGGATGGTCAGTCTACGATCTTGCAGAATCAGATCCCTAACTTTTGAGACATTTTCTGGTATTTTGCCTGTTGACAGCTGTCCCGAACGAATGTCATCATCAGTCAATGTTCGGCCATTTTTAAAACGCTTATGCCAGTTGTAAGTTTGTGTCTGGCCTAAACTGTTTTCACCAAAAGCTTGCTTCAACATTTGATGAGTTTCTGCAGCGGTTTTCACAAGTCTGAAACTAAACTTTATACAGACATGCTGCTCTCTCAGGTTAGCCATTACAAAACTGCAAACTCACAGAAACACAACAATAGAAATATGTTCACCAACAATAAACTCAACCACTCAACTCAACGCCGCTTGCCACACTGATTCAAGAAGGATGTGTGAGGAGACGCCTAGCGGTATTTTGATGTACTCATAACCATTCGTGCGCAAAATTCAAATTTTGGAAACTTTTGGATTGCCCCACGTATTTTAAGAAATGAACTTAATATGGTATTAATGTCTAGTTGATGAATTGTACATGTTCGTTAAGTTGTTGAATTGTATAGTTATGGTTCCTTTTATGAATGTGGCTGTAAGAAGACTAGTTTCTGTTCTAATGTATCTAAATTGTGACATATTCTATATCTGATGTGAGGGAATGGAGGTATAGCTTCACCAGTCTTGACTTTGGCTCTTGATGAAGGTGAGTGGTCAGCTTCACGCTCAGATCACTGTACTTCAGGGAAATTGCCCCCCGGAACCTATTGGATAGGAGGCTGGTGAATCCCAGACCTGGTCTGGTTGCTATGGAAAAGGGAAAATTCTTGTCGCTGCTGGGAACAAAACCCCAGCCATCTATCCCATAGCCGGTTATTATAACGACTGAGCAGTCCTGACTGCCTCCAGTTATAAAGAGAGATACTCAAATTTACAGGAGTCCAGTGTGTTGTGATATTAAAACGTACATGATTTCAAACCAGATTCCTTTCCCAAATGCAAACTTTACATAACCAAATCCATCTTATTTACGGAAGAACCCATTTCATGATCTTACGGGTACACATCAGATTATAATAACAAAAATATCGGGGTGTTTTCACAATGAAATATGTCACACCATAAATTAGAATGTGTTGTCTTATGGGCCTTTGTTTGCAAGAGTTCTGCAGTGTGAAGTCAAATTTTCTGAAACAGGGTTGTACTGTAATTATGTTTCTTCTTAAACAAGGCAGTGAAGGTAATTTGCAGTTTACTCACACGCATGAACATTTCAGATTTGGTTTGGTAATTATGCCATCTATTTTTAGATTATTGGACCCTTGCTCACTTCACCTTTTGTACTGTTGTTTTGTAATAAAAAGTATGTGATCAGTTTGGTACACTCTGGAAGATGTAAACATTATTAGCATTATGGAGCCGTAGATGTTCTTAATGTAAGTGGAGACCTACCATCTCAGGTTGATATACATTGCAATGCTGTTTCCATAAAAGTGATAGTGATAAGTGTTAGACAGATCATAGCAGCCTTCCTTACATCATTCATCAGTTTTTTATACCTCACATTTTCTAGTCTTATAAATAAAGGAGTTTGGTTTTTTTTTTTTTAAGGAAATGTTCCACGTTCCAGTTACTTTAGAAGAGATGGGATTTGACACCACTGAGTCATTTCTTCTGTCACTAAATGACTCAGTTCTGCACATGCGTTATGTGAACAAGAAGATCCTAGTGTATCCCCATGCTACTAATACAGAACCAGAAAGGGATAACCCATTAGCACATGTTACTGAGGTAAGATCAAGCCTGCTACAGAGTATGGGCAGTTTTGTGACTTAACTGTAGTGACATCTATCAATGTGACATTCAAGTGATTCCATAATAAATGGTTTTTCTTGTACATGGCTGTGTGGCTGAATAAGATATTCCTGTATATGGAACCTGAATATTCATTGCCGTGTTCACAAAATTAAGTCAACAAGCAGAACTTTCTTGCTGCCTGCTTCGTGCTGCCTTCTTGCTGGGTTACTCTTTGACCCTGAAGACAGAGGCAGTCACTGTTGTACACATTTCATAAACCACTACACGACACTCTAGGCCTTCTCAGTCTGTAACAGTCTTCACTAGCCGTTGCTCAGTAGTGGCTTCAGTGGGAGCCTTGATGTCTCACCCTGTGGCCCTTCATGGCCTGTTACAGGGCCTTTGTGATGTTTTTCATCACAGTGTCTGTACATTTTGTGTTACAAACTGTGATGAAGCTCTGAGCGGAGTTTGGTGTTTTTGACGTGTGTGTGTGTGTGTGTGTGTGTGTTTGAGGGGGGGGGGAAGATGTCACCTGTGTGGCAGTTAGGCTTGTGTCAGTCCTGCTGACATATCTGCCACTTTCTGTTTCTTTTTGCGGCTGCCACCTTGATAGTAGAGACAGAATTTTATAACAGGGATGACAGAAGGTAAGAATTTGAATTATAAAATGGAACTCTGTTCAAATCAAAAGAAGAAATCCACAAGAATTGAATCCAACATTTTACACATGTAGTGTGTGGGGGGGCGCACAGAATATCTCACCAATTGTCTAGATGATGTGGGACCCTCAACGTCTCACAACCCTATGGGCCTTCGCGGCCTGGTACAGGGCTAGCTTTACTTTTTTACTTTTACTGTCAGTTATCAAGTTTTATATAGTGAACCTTACATTTTTGTGCATTATTGTTACAGTTATATTTAACGACAGCCTGTCAGTTATCAGGTTTTATATAATGAATCAGAAGTGCAATGATATGTAATCATAAGGAATCAGAACCAGGCACATGCTGAACAAGAAGAAGGACTGGGTTGACAGTAAATGAGCTGCTTTGTTCAGTATAGTTCCTGTTGGGTTTCGTAGTGGTCAGAAGAAGTTTCAGTATCATTTCTCTATCCCTGCAACGTAACTTATAACGTATGAATTCATATATTGTTGCTTTTATCTTTGTGGACAGCCACAAAATCTCTTTGCAGATTTATATCCACCTGAAGTAATTGGTCCTAAAGGAACGCTTCCATATGAGAAAATACCACCTGAAGCTACACCAGGAGGATTTCTTGAGGTGTTAGTGGCAGAAATATATACACCTCAGAATTTCTGGATACAGTTGAGAGGAGGAAAGACTCATTTGGCACTTGATGCACTTATGAATGAGATTCAGTAAGTATATAGCATTCATGTCAAGCTTAAGTGCATAAGAGCTTATGATTTTCAAATCTGTCAGTAGCTTCATAATCACCAATAAAATTTCCGTATTTCATGTCACTTTTTCTACTGTAGTATACTACACAAGAAAGCAAACAAATATAACTACACTGAAATATTGTGAAAAAGTTTCTTGTCAAAACTTAATAATTTATATTGAAGTGTTTTGAGTTGTGACATCATGTAGTGTAGCAGTTCTACTTTAGACAAGTATTCAGATGGTGCTGAGCTCAGATCTCGATCAGGATATAAGCTACTTTGATTGAGCATATGTATCTGATGATGGGCCCATGTTGCTGAAATGTGCCATGCATGGACTAAGAAGTGTTCTAACCAGCAAGCTACAGAAGTGTTCCATTTACAAGATTGTATTATACATATTGTAACATGTTGTGCAACGGAGAACCCCTCCCTACCCAACTGCAACGTGGCAACTCAGGCCACAAGCGCGTGGCGGTAACGTAGCGCTCCCTAACACCCCTCCGCGGTGACGTAACGCGCAATGCTACGTACCCGTGATCAACTTCCTACTGTGACGTGGCACTCATTACGCAACAGGCAAGCACTGCAGCTATATATATGAGCTGCACAGCAGCTACCAGTCAGTTCTACTGTAGCAGTCGGCAACTTCAGTTGTAACCTGGCCATCGCCGAAGACAGTTCCGAGTTGTACTGTGACAGCTGCCGAGTTGTAATGTGTCTACCGCAGAGTTAAGTAGCAGTCGAGCGAGTATGTTATCAACAGTTCTCCAGTCAGCCGACTACAGTTGGAGTATAGCAGCCATTGCGGAAAGAAGAACCGGACGTGTGTGTGGTTGTGTAATTGGGAGCGTGGATACAGTGATACATAGCTCCCCTACTGTATACGTGTAGACTACTGAAGACAGAGTGAACTGATTTGCGCATAGGGTTATAAATCGTGAAACCCCACAACAGTGTTAACAGATTAATGCGATTAGGGTTATAAAGTGTGAAACCCCGCAACTGTGTAATAATTAATTGTAGCCGTTACTTGTAGATTGTTAAATAAACCAGTTAACGATCTCTACGGCGTATTCAGTAACCAGAAACACGTTACACTGGTGTCAGAAGTGGGATACGAACTTACACACGTGACCAACGAGCTTCGAACGAAATACGTTACAATATACATCATGTGCTGAACTAATGCGGCAGGATGTTTAATACAGTATTATTTGGACCGAGGTGTTTCATGGTTTTACTCAATAACTTTTCAGGGATGATAATGTACTGATCTATGTCTTTGTTTTCTGAGGATGCACCCTGAAGGATATTTTAAGCATAATACACTTTACAGTCTGTGGAGGGGTGCAGTTGTGTTGTTATAATCCATCGACTGAATTGTAGCAGGTAAGAAAGGTAAAGGTAAAGCTGTCCTTGAAACAGGCCATGAAGGCCCATAGGATTGTGAGATGTCAAAGCTTCCGCACTTTCTAGACAGTCCACTTGCAGATGTCATTGAGTTTGTCAGCCTTATGGACCTGCTGGCCGCCCTTTACCCACAGGAAGATTTCTGGTACTCATTGCTATTAGAGGTTGAGTTGACCCCAAAGTCATAGTGCGACTGGAGGGATTAGGTGAATTAATAAGGTCCAGTGACCTCATCAGGAATTGAAACCATGACCTTCTGGCTTGTAGAGAGTTCCATCATCTGTCTGCAATCAGATCGCAGTCATCCATATAGTAGCCATCTCAGGTCTCATGATTGTGACAGACTTTTGTGTTAGCATCAAGTTAAGTGTTTACTGTATTTTATGAACTACTGTACTTTTGCTTGTATTGTTTCAGAGAATTCTATAAACAGGAAGCAAATAATTACAATATGCCAGTTCCAACAATCAAAATTGGTCAGTATTGTATGGCTCCTTACAGTAATGAATGGCATAGGGTATGCATTACTGCAATGCTCACTTTCCATGATGTGCAGGTAAGAGTGAATTATAGAGAGTACCGTAAGATCACATAACTTGCATACGGGGAACAGTCAGGTTCAGTTCCTTTCAGAAAAAAAAATACAGACCTCTGGACTTTGTCCATTGTCTACTGTTCTGAAAGAACACAATATTTCTGAAATTGGAACCATTTTAATCTTCTAGTGAAATGATGGGTAGTCATGTACCTTTTCACCTGAGGACATGTGGATCTGCTCTCTGAAATGTGTTGTTTCAGAGTACTGGACAGTTATAATATACCATCATTAGCACCTTTTAGAACTCGTGTTTTGTTGTTGCAGGTGCTGTTTGTTGATTATGGTACGACTGGTAGGGTGAAGAAAAGTGACTTGCGCTTCATGCATCGCGACTTTGCAGAATTTCCAATTCAAGCAATCAAAGCTAGTCTTGTCAATCTAGTGCCAACTGGTGGTGCAGAAAAATGGCCCCGTAAAGTTAGTAAGCGCTTTCTTGAGTTGGTGTCAGATAAAAATCTTGTGGCTGTCATCTCCTCAGTCGATCATGAGGTACTGTAACGTTTGATAGATACTTCATTCTAGAATGTTACTGTCTAAGCAAGTTAGAATGAATACATGATTTAGGTATGTAATTAAGCATTCCTTGGGATTTTAAAAATTATCATTACTGAGAAGTTATGATACAATACAGTGAGACCTCTCCTTGATGTTCCTTGGTTTAAGGTTTTTCCTCATTTACTCTTCAATTTCAAAGATCTCAGGTTAAGTAATCTCAGTGTTAAATTACCTGCAGTTAAATTAATTGCGATGGATTTTAAAAATTGTCATGATTCGTAAGTTATGTCCCAGTACAGTGAAACCTCTTCTTAATGTTTCTTGGTTTGAGGTTTTCCCCATTTACTCTTAAATTTCAGTGATCTCAGGTTAAGTAATCTCAGTGTTAAATTACCTGCAGTTAAATTAATTGCGATGGATTTTAAAAATTGTCGTAAGTTATGTCCTAAGACCCAGTACAGTGAAACCTCTTCTTAATGTTCCTTGGTTTAAGGTTTTTCCCCATTTACTCTTAAATTTCAGTGATCTCAGGTCAGTAATCTCAGTTTTAAATTAATTCCAGTTAATATTTTCCTCAGTTTAGTGTTTAAATTAAACCTGAAATGGAGGTTTTACTCTATTTCAGTCATATTTCCAGGATTTTGCTGTAAGGAAGGTAAGAATAGAATAGTAAGGGTCAAGGGAATGATGTGATTGAGGCTGTAGTATCTGGATGCAACTTGACATGACTAAGATGTTTCCATTGTATTTTTCACAGTCCATCTCATGTGCTGCCTTACCCATGTTCCTGCATAAACATGTAAATCCCAAGTCATAATTGGTTACTTTGTTTTAATGTTTCCTGTTGACAGCATGTTGATACTTAAGTGTGTGTGTTACACAATTTTGGCACTGAGCTAAGTATCCAAACATTGGGCTAAATGGTGAAAAATTAGATTTAAATATATATAATTTGTAGGTATGTTGATAATGTGGCCTCCTTATAGCTTGAAACTGTAATAGTAATAAAACCAAATGCTTTGTCTTTAATATTTATATTTAGTGCAATATGAGTGAAAGTGACTTATGTATTTGTTATGTGTTGTTTGCTTTATTTTGAATTTGTTATTTGTTTCATATTGATTTCTTACCTTTTGTTCTACTAATTTTCTCATTTTTTATAAGCTGTATAACAGATTTTGTAGATTTGTATAGGCAATAAATGAACATAAGACCAATGTGACGTACAGGCTTACAAAGAGTGGACAGAATAGTGTGTAGGGTTTGTAAATTGTGTAAACCCGTAACAGTGTTGTAATTAATTGTAGCCGAGATTTGTAGGTTGTTAAATAAACCAATTAACAATCCGAACGGCGTCTTCAGTGGCAAAACATGCTACAATATGTATGCTCATTGTATTATATCAGAGTTATAGGTCTGTTAATTGGAATTCCAATACTTTTTTTCCGATTTCAAAATAGAATTATTATGCATTCTGTCAGAACTAGTGACTAGAAGTTCGGGTTTATCACTCAGTGTGTTTAATCCTGGTTTTGGTTTAATTTGAATTTAAGCAAGGAATCCATCAATGATTCAGATTTTAATGTCAATTGAAACCTCTGAGAGAGAAAAGTACTTCAGTATATGAACAAACTAATGCTGTCACATCTTGCAGTCACATTTTCATAAAATTTTGGAAATTTTTGTTCTCTTGCTTCTTGTTTGAACAGTAATTTTTTTTATTTAAACCAGTCTTTTGCATTTAATGCCTGAAGTAAGCTTCTTTATTTTATATTTTCATGTGTAGAGCTTATTCATCCCAGCACGTTGTGTCTGTCTCGCATTATTTTTTTGGGATTTTAAAAATTTCTCTCAGAAAACTTGCTTCACTCCTAATCCCCACAGATTTTTGTATCATAACCTTCTCTGAAAGTATTTTAGAAGACAGATGACATGGAAACCCTCCTTGCCCTCTTCTTTATGTCATGAAGAAATTTATTGTACTAGTATGTGACACTTGCAGGCACGTGAGCTGGAAGTAGCCTTGGTGGACACTTCTGGTAATGAAGATGTCCATATTAATGATCTTCTGGTAGATGAGGGCCTGGCAGAATATAAAACAAACAGAATGAAAATGCCGCAGCCACCACCATCGCCGTTACCACTAGCACCACAACTGCAGAGGGTAACTCTACTGCAACAGCTAATGAAATTTAATTTTAAGTAATATATATTATTTTAAGCTTTCTATCTCTGGATTTAATGACATCTGTCTCATACTAATCTACTTACAACTCCATTATCTTTATAGTTGCCTGTCATTTCTCATCAAATTAGCAGAATGGCAGAAGTTTAGTGATTTCCATGCTTTTGCTGCCCAGCAAGAGATAAAACCAAATATTTTGCATGGTACAGTGCTTAAGTGGTAAAGAGAAACATGCACACACACACACACACACACACACACATACACATACATAAAACACTTCCATATATTGCTTATGAATGGTCAGACACACAAGTTGAAGGGCAGCCATATATTTCTTGGCCAATTGATTGATATTGTACTTAATCAAACTGAGTATAATCTTGTGCCAGGTCTTTCTTCTTAGTATAAACTCTAATGGTGTCATGTTGTATAAGGGAGTGTGCCCAACATTGGACACTTAGGCTGCTTTCACCTACTCCAGTGTTATCAGCATCAGATGTTGGTGTTGGAACTGATGCACTAAAAATGCATGTATTGCAGATGATGTATTTCGCATGGTGACCTGAAAATATTTAAAAAATGACCTAAAATATGACCCAAAAATGTAATATGCAGGGCCCGGATTTTGATGACCTGAAAATATTTAAAAAATGACAAAAAATCCAGAAAAATGACCTAAAGGAGAAAAGAAAGAACACTTCACTTCCATATTATTCACATTTCAGAAAACATATGAAGAAAAATTCCCTAAAATGGCCAAAAATGACAAGAAATACCCTTAGAAGCCCAAAAACTTACCAAAAAATTACCCCAAAAATGAAAAAAAAATGACCTTAAACCTAAAAATGTCAAAAAATGACAGAAAATTACCTATAAAATTTACATATCTGTAACCAGCAGCTCATATCCAAGATTTATATATTTAAGAGCATCGCATAGGATACAAGGAAAAGAAGATGACATGTCATCAAAGTCCAGGCCCTGGTGATCACTCTGATAAGAATGTCATTCTAATACATCAATGTCTATGAGACCATTGGATGGTTTGGTAGAAATTGGGCCAATATTCTATTGTCTGATATGTAGTAAACAGTAGAACCATATGCATTTTTTTTACATAATCACTGAGTTTCCAGTATTAGTGGAAAAAGTAAAGGATGTTATCATCATGTCAACTTTATTGAGTATTAAATTTTTTCTGCTGAAATGAGAAAATGGAATTTGAGGCTTTATCCAGCAGTAGTGAGAACCTTGGTCAGGTGGCATATTAAGCAGATAAGTTTGGATTGTCAAATTCACAGAATGTTTTTCTGCAAGGACAGAGTTCAAGTATCATCAGTTTATATGAAAAGCTGAAGTCATCAAAAATTGAAATAAATTTATGGATTTCAGAAATTGAAGATTTTGATAGGGCAGTTTGTGTTTCAAACCTAGATTTGCCTCTCTGAGGTAGAAGTAATAAGAATATGGTTAAAATCAACATGGCCATAGGCAGATTTCCAAGTTCTGTGAGTGAATGAGGTTCATATATGCTGTTACCTATTGTGTATACATGATATAATAGATTGTGTGTCTAAAAACTTGAATGAAGGTGCTTCATCACGAGTTAGTGATGTAAGTCATTATGTTATCATTAGAAATTTACTACAGCCATTTTCATTACACTTTCAGAATTCATATAGCAGTGGGAAATTCAGTCATGCTGGGTTAGTACTTTTCTTGCCAGATGGCAGAGCATAGAATACCTAAAACTACTTTCTGAGCCCAAATATAGCAATCTTACTTTTTCCTCTGGCAGTATCTCCATCCACTCTGAGGTCAAAGCAGACAGCTGTGTGTTGCTGCCAGCATTAAATCTGTTATGCTGTGGGGATTCGTTGCACTGACCATGCGACGCCCTCCATCCACTAAATTTGGCACTAACTTTGCCGACAAGCAGCGGTTGCTCAGTCGGTATAGTTCGCTTGCGGACTAAAACCAAGGAGTTTGTTTTTTTTATGAGAAGTTGACAGCAATAGAACAGACATTGTTCTTTCGTCCATTTTTACTTATTGCAGATGCACTTTTCCTGTGCGTGCTATATTGAGAGAGTATTGAACATGCAGGATGTTCTTCCATGTGCTTTCCTGCACAAGGATCATGCACCCACATATAACTAGTAGAAGGAGAGTAGAATACTCATATATGTGGGTTACTTCAGAAGTCATGGCAACATAATTTTTCCAAAATTTAGAAAGCTCTGACCGGAATTTCCAAATTTGCTGCTGAGAGACAGAAACGTCTGATTTATAATGATGCTGCTAAATGATGCGGAAGAACAAGGACAATGAAGCGAGTCCAGCGTGAAGTCAGTGTGATCATAACCTTCGTCGAGAATGAACGTTAGCTGGCTGGAACGGCGTTGTTACGTGAAAATAGCAGTGCTTCGCGGCAGAAATGCGACTGAATGTCACTCAGAGCTTGTGGAAGCTCTGGGTGATTTGCAAGATGGATAGAAGCATTCCAACTTGGAAGAGAAGCAAGTGCCGACTTGCAACATAGTGGACGCCCTGTGTCCATTCATACCGATGTTTCTCGTGCCGTGATCACCCAGTGCATCGAGGAAGATAGGCGCTGGTCTCTGAAGGAGTTCAAGAGACATACAGGGATTGACCAGGCAACTGTGCATCAAATTTTATGAAACTCTCATTGAATTTTTATTTCTTAATCACAATTGAATTTTTCGAGGATTAAAGAATGAAAAAAACCAGTCATTCCCTAATGTGCAGTTTTTTTTGCCTACTATACCTATGCCTCTTCACATCTACCTGATCTGACTATGCCAATCGGAAGGGTATATGATGCTCTTTCGTAAGTATATTTTGAACTTTCTTCATAACGTGTTTGCCCCAAAAAAATAGTTGTCATGACCTTTGAAGTAACCCACGTAAATCTCTTTTCCACAGAAGTGCATTCTAAAATGCCTGATCCCAGTGGCAGGCATTGTTTGGATACTGTCATTTATTTTATAGTACCATGTCCTCACCTATTAACTGTACACGTAACCTCAGAAGATTAAACCAATTTGTTAATCAGTAATTTGTTTTTAATGTGGAGTAAGTATTAATTTCAGAAGTACTGGCATTTTGCCATATATACTGGTGATCAGAAAACAGAGTTTGGAAAGTGTACTATACGAAGGGGGACCCAAAAATAACCGGAAACGACCTGTTGTGTGCGCATGCTTTATAGTTACGAGTTGTGCTGCTAGGTGGTGTTAGCTGGGGGTCTCCCGCGACTCTTAGTGAGCTGGCGTCAGTCTGAGTTAAGTGGTTTGTCTGTGGTGCTCTGTTGTGTGCGTTCCTGTTTCAACCCTTTGGCGATTAGTGAGATGGCCGACCAGAAGGAACNCACACTCTTTGTTCCTTCTGGTCGGCCATCTCACTAATCGCCAAAGGGTTGAAACAGGAACGCACACAACAGAGCACCACAGACAAACCACTTAACTCAGACTGATGCCAGCTCACTAACAGTCGCGGGAGACCCCCAGCTAACACCACCTAGCAGCACAACTCGTAACTACAAAGCATGCGTGCGCAACAAGTCGTTTCCGGTTATTTTTGGGTCCCCCCTCGTATTTTTCATGTTGTCTCTTTAGAGTGGCCCAGAAAACCTTAGTTGATGGTTATCATCACATTAATGTTTCACTGTATCAAATAAATGTGTATATTGTACAATGTTATCTCACTGAATTCTACAACTTAGGTCTAATACATTTTCAGTTTGTTAAATATTTAATTGGATCTTTTTTAAAGACCACATTTGGGTTTCAAGTGAAGTGGTGTAGACATGAAAAGCTTCACTCAGAATTTAAATTGTAGATCAATACCTCAGAAAGGATTTGGCTCAATCTCAAAAAGTTTTCCAGTGCATAATTTAAGACAAAATTTCAGGAATTTTGTTTGGGGGAGAAAACTGTTCTGTTAAGCGATATCTTGTAAATAAAGATTGTTATTGTTTGGTTTGGTCTGTACAGTATTTTGGTCAAAATAAAATTTTGCCAGTAGCACACTGTCTCGTCTTTTGCCCCCCCCCCCATTTCCCAAACAAATTAATATAAGGCCTGTTAGAATTGTTACTGCATAAAGTAATACAGTGCAAGATTTTATCTGAAAGATTCATTTTTTGTTTTTTTAGTGAGGATCTTTGAAGAAAATTAAATGCTCTCTGCTGTCAGCAGCTACCCTGCCAGGCAATATGTAGCCATTCTGACTGCTTAGTCTGCTGAAGTAACAATGTCGTCATTGCTTTTCCCTACCCAAAGTCATACCTCTGTCAGTATCAGGTCTGGTGGATCTCAAACTAGGAATCATGGTGAACGTTGTGTTATCTTTTCAACAAATATTACCCAATATTAATTTCATTTAATATGTATTACGTAAAATGCACCACACAGAAATTGTAACCTTCAGTTGTATGATTAATCTCTTGTATACATTTTCTCAAGATAATTACTATCAAATACTAAAACATACTTCAAGAACATGTGTGCGCACACAAAAATCTCATATTTATAATGTGCTATGCATTTTGACAGTTTTCTCACTTTACTTACGTTAAATGTCAGATATATCACTACTGATTACAGATCATGAGATCATACTTGTTACTGTAGTTTGAGAGGCAAACTAATATGTACACTTGAATAGAGTTATTGGAAATGATATACTTCCAGAAATCTCTATCTACTAACATCAATAGAGTGAAAGAAATACAAACCAATTTTGCCTTCTCTAGTAATACAGTGAAGTGGAATTAATGAATGAACACTGCTTATACACGCAGCTAAGAATTCCCATTCTTAGCTCAAAGTATGGTTGCATTTCTTGTTAGTATCATATGAAATTACGAAGTACAGTTTTCCCTGTGCATAATTAAACACAATGTAAAGACATATGGATGAGTCGAGGTATAGCTCCATTCTTACCCTTCTACATTAGATGGATGTAGGAGTCAGCTTCATTCCACAGCCTATTTGCCCCTTGAAAATTATCCACTGGTACCCATTGCATAAGTGGCTGGGTGGTCCCTGGAGCCAGTTTGGGTGTGGTGGTGAAGAGTAAAATCTCTGCCCCTACTTGACACTGGACACTGATTCTCCAGTCATCCTACCTGTAGCCTAATCATTGTACTGACTGAGCTACCCAGGTTCCAATATCACAAAATGTTAGTTAAAATTTCAAATAAATTGCTGAGATTAAAAAGTAAAGTTTATTCTTGTGACTGAAAAAATGCACTGGGAATGAGGATTTGAATCACATCAAACAACTTACTGCAGTACTTCCACAGCACTTCAGTGACCAGGGCTGCTGGTTCGTATTGGTAAGAGCAGAGAACGAGTTCCATGATGTCTTTAGGTGCATTGTATTAGGTCCATGGCAGGAAAAGAAAGTAACAGAGGAGGTATATACGTGGTGTGTTCAAAAAGTATCGAACGTTCTTTTTTTCCACATAAACCAATGAAGCGCGGGAGGCTCCCTTCGGTGGAGATGTGGAGGGGACATTCATGCGCTGTCATGAATTTTTTCCCCGCCCGCAGAAAGCGCCAGTCACTGGCAGTCAGCCTATGAGTGAGGACATGTAGTGAGCACTCGTCGGATTCCAGTAAGGTTTAAAATGACGGAACAACATGAGCAGTGATATTGCATCAAATTTTGCCAAAAGCTTGGTGATACCCAAGTGGAAACCATTCGTAAGATTCAACAGACTTTCAGGGGCGATGCCATGAGCAACTCACGGATAAAGGAATGGTACAGCCACTTCAAAGATGGCCGCACATCAGTGGACAGTGAACCGCATTCAGGCAGACCCTCAACAAGCCGAAATGAGAATGTCATTGAGCAAGTGCGGACTTTGGTCATGGAGGACTGTTGTATCACAGTCTGAGAACTTGCGAACGAGATAGAGGTAAGCATTGGATCGGTACATTCAATTTTGGCCGAGGATTTGGGCATTAGGAGAGTCTGCGAAATTCGTACCGAAACTACTAACAGTGGAGCAGAAGCAACGCCGTCTGGAAACCGCACAGGACATGCTGGACAATGCAAACAGTAACTCCAACTTTTGTGAACACCGTGATCACAGGTGATGAGTCGTGGGTTTATGGGTACGACCTGGAAACCAAGATGCAGTCGTCACAGTGGAAACATCTGACATCCCAGAGGCCCCCCCCCCCAAAAAAAACACGACAGGTCCGCAGCAATGTCAAGGTCATGTTGGCCGTTTTCTTCGACTCCAGTGGGGTTGTGCATCATAAGTACGCACCACAAGGCCAAACCATCACAAAGGAATATTACCCGGAGGTCCTTCATCGCCTTCATGATGCTGTGTGGTGCAGACAACTGGATCTGTGGGCAGCAAACCTTGGCAGCTCCATCATGATAATGCACGCGCCCATTCTGCGCATCTGATTCAGACTTTCGTTGCCAAACACAACATCCCTGTGGTTTGTCAGGCTCCCTACTCCCCCGACATGGCTCCGTGTGACTTGGCTATTTCCCAAGCTGAAAATGCCGCTGAAAGGAGCCCGATCTGAGTCAAGAGAAGACATCATGCGGAATGCGACAGCCCGGCTGATCACTATTCCAAAAGACGCGTTCCAGAATTGTTTCCAACAATGGCGGAAGCACTGAGAGAAGTGCGTGCCTTACCAAGGAGACTACTTTGAAAGGGATTAGAGTTTTGTACCTCCAGATCAATAAATATATTTCTGCCAACCAAAGGTTCAATACTTTTTGAACACTCCATGTATATATCCACAAAAATACCAAATCTGCAATAGATAAAAATAATGTACTTATTTTTCCTCTTTATAATATAGTCATTAATTAATCTGTTAAAAATAATTAAACTCCTGACAGACTATAATGGAAATAATAATGAATTATATTTATATTAACTATTAATGTGGAACAAATTAGCTCATAATTTTTGGTTTTGAAATTGTTTAAAACAAACTTATACCTGTGAATCTGAATATATTTATCCAGATTTAAGTTTGTCATATGTGAGCTGTGGTAGTTTAATCAACAAAGTGTCTGGCTATAAGCTGATGACCAGGTTCAATTCCTGGCAAGGTCAGAGATTTTTCTCTTTGTCAGTGTATCCAACTTGGCTCTGGGGTCAACACCTCTTACTCGGGCAAAATATGGTTATTTGACTGGGTTTGAAGATGACCACTTGTGCCTGTCCAGTGCCAAGCTAAGAATGCAAGTAACTATGCCTCCGCTTCCCCATATATCACCACTGCATGGTGCTTAATTAGTGAAATCTACCAGAAACAGTAAAGACAGCACTGAAGTGAAAGGATTTATCTCTCATGGGTTTCAGGTATCTGGAATGACCAGAGCTATCTTTAGAATTAGGATAGGTTTTAGATGTATATGGCTAAATGGTTCAGAGGAAGAATTTCAGGAATGTTGTTTATGGTTTGCTGCATAGTGTTATTCATGGATAGAGAATAGGCAGCTGTTTCCAGAAGTACTGTGTGCATGTGTACAAACACACACACACACACACTTGAGTGTGATAAATTATAATGTGTGTGTGCGCTTGTGTGTGCATTTTTAAACAATGTTTTTTCCATTCTCGCTTGGTACAGTGTGGTAAAATTAAAAATGCCTGGATTGGATACTTCTCTGATTCTCTGAATATTGTTATTTAATTTATTTATTTACATCACTGCATTATTATGCTTCATTACTTATGCAAAATCAAAATAAAGAAGACTTGGTGACCTGAATTTTTGATATTACAGTCTGTTCTACAGAATGTATACTGTTGAATTGTAATTAGCACTGAGAACCTTCCTGTATGATTTCTAGATCGCTGCAGACCTTGGGTCATCTACAGTCACAGTGAATCCACCACCGGGTTTTACTGCAGGACCTCAACTCCAGAGTCTGTCACATATCTCATCCACTGGTCCTGAAACACCTGAAAAGAGTGAAAATTTTACAGAAATGCAAAGCCAGTCATTTCCAAACATGCCTTACATCAACTCATCAGATTTCATACAACAGTTCACCAGTGTTCCAGTAGCACCAGCTATGTATGATGTCCCATTATTCACAAACACAAATCCCTTCTTAGCACAGGCATCTACCTTTCAACAGCTTATGTGTTATGAATATCTATTACAACACCAGCCATTAATGAGATCTTTGGTGATGTCAAATCCTGCATTTGCACTTCTGATATCTCAAAATATTAGTGCAGCATCGCTAGCCAATCCATTTGGAGTGCCAATGTTGAATCCTTCAATGTTGTATTCTCCACCTGTGACAACACATGACATCAACAGTTTGTCAATTGCTGTTGATAGTAATCCAGAAATGGATGCTGTTTATGTGTGTTCACCACCCACAGCAGAAGATGTGGCATCTGAAGGAGGAGAAACAATGATGACTCAAGTTGTAGTTGAACAAGAGCAAAATAAAGATGACTTAATGATAGAAGCATCAAATAATGTGGCGTGTTCTAACTCAGATCAATGTGACATAGTAGAAGCAAACTCATTTGGGATTAAATCAGATCCTGGTGTTAATGTAGAGAGCAAGTGTGTGAATGAAGGTGAAGAACCAAGTCCAACTTGTTCAACTAGTTCAGATGATATATACAGGTATGTTAATCTCTGTGCTGTCAAAGGAACAAATTATGTTATGAATCAGGCCTTTTTTTAAACTTATATTCTTCCTAGTGAATTTTATAATCTACATGAGGCCTAAGTTCCATCATGAGAGGAAGAATAAAGAATTGTAATGTTGGAAATTTTAGTTGATTGTTACATGATTAAGTTACACTGATAAATGAATTATGTCATCCAGGATATAAATTAATTCATATAACTGGCACTAGTACTTAGAAGAGAGAGACTTCTAGGTCCACAATAATGTTCTGACCTCAGTCTTTTATCCCAGATCTTAACATGTAAAGCTGAGATTTTAAATATCAGAAAGATGTTTATTTTTTCGTGAAGTATATAGCAAAATTTGGGACAAATTGATCCTGTTAATTGATTGATGTATTATAGTTCTATTTCTAAGTGTCATGAGCTCAATAGAGTGCTCATGAGTACTGTAAAAATTCAATGAAAACTTGGCATGAGTTGTGAGCTACCCCTTACATAAATATAATATCAGTTAGAAGTTCGTTCGTTAATGGGCACAGAGATGACTTGTACGTGGTGCAATCCAAAAGTTCCCGAAATGTATTAATAAAAACTATTACATCTTACCTAGATCTTATTCTGCACTATCACCTTCAAAGTAGTCCCCTTGGGGGCGCATACACCAATCTCAGCGTTTCTACCACTTTTGAAATGCATCCTGGAAGTCTTTCTTTGTTAGGATGTTTAATACCGTCTGCGTTCCTGCTTGAATTTCCTCAACTGTATCAAATCTTCGCCCCTTCAACTTGATTTTCATCTTGGGGAAGAGAAAGAAGTCGCATGGAGCTAAGTCTGGCGAGTATGGTGGGTGAGGAACAACTGCCATCTTGTCCTTAGCCAAAAATTCCTGCACAATGTAAGCCGTATGCGGTCATTCATTGTCATGGTGGAGTACCCAGTCGTTCGTGTGCCACTTCTCTGGACGTTTTCTCCTCATGTCCTCCCTCAAACGCCTTAGAACATCGTGATAGAACTCTTTATTGACTGTGTGACCAGGAGGGACGAACTCCTTATGAACAATCCCATCAATATAAAAAAAACAGATCAACATGGACTTATTTTGCTCTTGACCTGTCGAGCTTTTTTGGCTGAGGTGAAGAAGGGCTCTTCCATTGTGACAATTGCTGCTTGCTTTCAGGGTCGTAGCCATAAACCCAACTTTCGTCACCAGTGACAACCTTCGAAAGAAAGTTTGGATCCTCTTGAAGCTGTTGCTGAAGTTCCCTGCAGACTTCCAAGCGATGCTGCTTCTGTTCATTTTGCAGCAGTCATGGCACAAACTTCACCGCAGTCCTCCTCATGTTCAGTTCCTCCGACAAAATTCGTTGACATGTACCATAACTTAGTCCCAAGGTGTTACAGAGGTTTTGGATGGTCAGTCTATGATCTTGCAGAATCAGATCCCTAACTTTCGCGACATTTTCTGGTGTTTTGCCCGTTGACAGCCGTCCCGAACGATCGTCATCATCAGTCAATGTTCGGCCATTTTTAAAATGCTTATACCAGTTGCAAGTTTGTGTTTGGCCTAAACTGTTTTCACCAAAAGCTTGCTTCAACATTTGGTGCATTTCTGCAGTGGTTTTCCCAAGTTTGAAACAAAACTTTATACAGACACGCTGCTATCTCAGGTCAGCCATTGCAAAACCGCAAACTCACGGAAACACAACAATGGAAATACGTTCACCAACAATAAACCCAGCCACTCAACTTGACGCCGCTTGCCACACTGTGTGAGGAGACACCTAGCGGTATTTCAGTATACTCATAACCATTCGCGCACAAAATTCAAATTTTGGAAACTTTTGGATTGCCCCACGTATTTGCAATGGCCAGCATGTTGGCCCTTCATTGCTGTCTGATATATATAGTGTGCTACCTGTTTTTCCAGTTGTTGCTGTCTAAACTATGTAGCATGCCTATTGTGGTCATATCCAACTCATAGTTTGAAATTTTAGTTTTTATATCAATTCTTTTCTTATGAAATATAATAAGTGATTATAGGCTTTCAGTATGTACGTGCTTAAGTAAAAGGCTATCTCCTTAACAGGCCGTGGAGGCCCATAGGGTTGTCAGACTTTGAGTCTTCCACATTTTGTAAACAGTTGACTCACAGATGGTTGTGAGGTCGTCAGCTTTATGCACCGGCCACCCTTTACCCCCAGGAAAATTCCTGGTACTCATTTCTGTTAGAGGTTGAGTTGAACCCAGGGACATAGTGCAGCTGGAAGGATTGGGTCAGTTGGAAAATGCAATGACAGGCAGAAGTTATTATGTGTGTGTTGGAAGAATGTGTTTTGAAGTTGTTTACAATAGAATCCTAGTTACCTTTTACAGAATTCATGCAGTTTCTTTCTTGTTACAGAAGTGATGATGATGATGATGATGAAGAAGAAGAAGAAGAAGAACAACAACAACAACCACAGCAACAACAAGAGCAGTACTGTGTTCTGAAACCACACTATGTGAAGGAGATTGGTGAGTTTTTGGAACTGAAAGATGATGTAATTCAAAATGTTCTCATTATGATTACTTCAGATCAGAAGAAAACACAATCTACAGTAAATACCTGTAATTCTATGTCGCTTGTATCGGGTTTTTAAATCCATAATATTGATGAACATTGACAGATGTGTTTTTTGTATTCAGCATGTAAATTGAGCATGTAGTGGGAAACTCAGTCTTGATCGTTCACCCATCCATGCGTTTCTTCTCACAGATCGCTTAACAGATTTCACAAAATTTAGTATTTGAGGTTAAAATTGGAGTTACTGACATGTTCCCAATGAGAAGTTGCAAAAATGCAGCAAAACTTGATGATGGAAATAGTCCCTGAAATGTCAGTAATTTGTAACCAGCTGACATGGCTGATAGCCTGAAAAGATTTTATCTGTCAGTGGCAACATGTGTTCTCAAGTACTCGTCCTCCAATGTGTTCATGAAGCACAGTGTTGTTTCACCTCTTCTCCTGTGGGTCAAGTGGTATGGAGGGTGGTAGAAGAGGGATCTAATTGGTTGATGGTAGATTGCAACAGACAAAGCGTGCAAGAGACCCTAGAAGGGAAACTCGGTGCAATTGAAGGTGAAAGCGGAAATGCTGGAGCGCAGTGGAACAATATAAAAGAATGCATGTTAGATACTATCAGTGATTTGGTTGGTAAAGTTGAGAAGATAGCAAGAAAACCATGGGTTACACAGGAGATGATGAGTAAAATGGAGGAGCGAAGGAAATGGAAGAATGTCAACAATGAAGAAGGCAGGAGGAAATACAGGAGACTGAGGAATGAATTGAAAAGAGCCACGGACAGGGCCAAAAAGGAATATCTTGAGAAGATATGTAATGAGATTATGGAATTTCAAAGGACAGGACGTTATGATTTGATGTACATGAAGACAAAAGAACTAGGATGGAAAGAGAATCATGGGATTCAAAATGTTGGCATCGAAGACTCCCAGGGGAATAGAATAGTAGATCAGAGGNGAAAGGACCATATATTTTACAAAGGGAGATGGAAAAAGCTATCAAGGAAATGTGGAAAGGAAAGGCTACAGGAGATGATGATGTACCTGGAGATGTACTCAAGTTACTGGGAGAAGGTGGTTTGAAAACACTGACAAAACTAATGAACACCATATATGAAAGTGGAGAGTGGCCCAAGGGCTTTACAGAAGTGACAATGATTGCC